TCTTGGTTTTTGGTCATTGGTAAAATAGACTACAGAGTCTTGGTCGTGTGAAGCCGACGCATGATGATTTCGGTCATGAAGGACAGAGTAAGTCTTAGCCGATGTGATATATGGACAAACGATATAGGTTCCATCACCTCAAGATGTCGAGATAATAGAACCTAAGGAGCAGTTGTGAGGGGCCTATTTTTGTGAATGACAACACGTGGCCAAGGTGGCACCGAAGTGCCAGCCGAGGTGCTACGTGTCTTGGTCATGGCGCCAAGGTGATCCCGGCTAGGCCGAGGTTATCTACGGAGATACCGAAATCTGGGATGAACGGATAAGGGACATGTAACAACCCTCATACTGTTTACCGATTAATGACTGATTAACTGCTAATTACTGTTAACCGAGACTGATTATGACTGATAGTTGAACTGATTAAAGTACTGAACTGACTGACCGAAATTGAAACTGAATTGAATGAATACATCTGTTTGAATTGCATTCTATCTGTTGATTGTTTATTTTATCTGTTCATGTTTGAGCGTTTAATTGAAGGCCTTATCGGCGGCCGAATTAGTAACCGATTGATGTTTTATGAGCGTCATAATTAATGTAATTTTATGGTATATTTATTTGAAAATTGATTAGGTATGATTAGATTAGATTAAAATAAGCTAATTAAAGAGTTAGGCTTAATTACCTTAATGCCACTTAAGTGGCCCACTACTTGAATCATCTTTGAGCCTCATTACACTCATTCATACACATTCCATCAGCTCATTCTTTAGACTCAACCGACCAAGATAGAGAGTGAGAGAGAATTGAGTGGATCTTGAGTTCATTGGGAGAATTGCTTGAAGATTGAAGTGTGGATTGTTAATTTGAACCTCTAGACTTGCATTCAAGGAACCTAGGTATGAATTTCATCCTTTTGACTTGTGTTTAAGTTGATTCATGCATGGTTCATGTCCAATTGTAGAGCTAAGTCATGAATTGGTTCATTAATGGTGAATTGAAGCCCAATCTTCGCATGCATGGTAGTATTGTTGGATTTTGAGTTGTTTTCATGGCAAAATGTTACATGCATGTTCATGTCTTGAGTGTAGTCCATGATTTCATCATGTTTTGAAAAGAATTGGCTCTTTAGAGCATCAAATCGAATCTTTGAAATGGTTTGAATTCATGCATGTTTGCATGTTCATCTTGTGCTTGAAAAATGGTTTAAATTGAGTTTGAATTAAACACCCTTGGGCTTTGATTAATTAAAATTGAGCTTTGAAACATGTTATTCTATGTGTTTATAAATGTTTTCCAGAAAATGGGCCCAAGAGGATTGGTTTTGATGCTTTTGAGCTTGGTTTTGAACCTGGAGCTCGAATCTGGGATTTTCAGATTTCAGTCGTTCGCTCGAGCGGGAGGAAGTGCCGCTCGAGCGGTAAAATCGAGCTTCCAGCATCTTGCACTGTTTTACAGTCCGCTCGAGCGGAGGATTGGGCGCTCGAGCGGAGTCATGTCTCAAGCTCGAGCGGCCGTCGAGCGGGGATTTCACCCATCCAGTACTTTTACAGTACGCTCGAGCGGCAAAGTTTACGCTCGAGCGTGTACCTTTGTTTGCCTGTACGCTCGAGCGGGGAAACCTGCGCTCGAGCGGGCAGATGTGCAAAGCCAAGGACAGTGGCAAATTAACAAGTGTATGAGTGGTATGTGTGTGCATATGTAGACCCAAATACGAGTTGGACAAACACGAAATCGCAAACAAACATGTTCGACATGCAAATGATGGTAAAGATTGAAGAACATGAATAGATTCACAATGGCAATAAACAAACAAACGCAACAGAGTTTGAAACTGAAAAGAGGGAAAATAGTGACTTACCGAAGAGAATGACACCGGTATGAGGTACGCCGAAGTCAGACGATGATGGTGAATGGAGCAGAACGGTGAATGCTTCACCGGGGGGGAAGAACGGAAACAGTTGCAAAAAGCTTTGAAAGAACGAAAATAGAGGTTTCTTGTTTAAAAAGAGAAAAAACTTGAACTCAGAGGGAAAACAAAGAATGCAAAAGTGAAGAGATGGAGAAAGAAAGTGCTTTTGTTAAAACACGAAAAGGCGGTAAAATCGTAATAAATGTACCTTGGACGACGTGTCTGTTAGGAGGCGCGCGCAGAAGCGACACGACCTGATGGCGCGTGTCAGGTACGGATCAATGAGAAAAAGACGCGTGGCGAAAACGGTTGAGAAACCATGCTTGACAGTTCATGCGCTGATAGAACTCTTGGAGTTCTTGATTTAATGGAGTGAGAACCTCGGCTATAAGGACAATCTTGGTTAAGGAACTTAAAGAACTCGCTTCTTGGTTTTTGGTCATTGGTAAAATAGACTGCAGAGTCTTGGTCGTGTGAAGCCGACGCATGATGATTTCGGTCATGAAGGACAGAGTAAGTCTTAGCCGATGTGATATATGGACAAACGATATAGGTTCCATCACCTCAAGATGTCGAGATAATAGAACCTAAGGAGCAGTTGTGAGGGGCCTATTTTTGTGAATGACAACACGTGGCCAAGGTGGCACCGAAGTGCCAGTCGAGGTGCTACGTGTCTTGGTCATGGCGCCAAGGTGATCTCGGCTAGGCCGAGGTTATCTACGGAGATACCGAAATCTGGGATGAACGGATAAGGGACAAGAGTCCTAGAATGGAGAAAGATCTCAGTTTGGATAAAGATAAAGCTTTTAGGGAGTTTTTCTCTATCTGGCTGAAAGTCCAAAATGAGTATTGAGCCAGAGTCCATTGAAGCTAGGCTTCTACAGGGATCAGGTTAGTGTTGGCTATAAAAGTAAGGCATCCTCGTGAGTCTAAGGTACGCTTTTTGTATTCTGACTAAGTGAGTTAAGCACTGTTAACTATTTTTGAGAGATAACTGAGTACTAACTTGATCGTCGGAGTGCCCTCGGGTGGACGAACCACCGCCGGAATTCTTATCTTTCTGTGATAGGTTGTTTGGGCACGATCTATTATGCATGTGCTCTCCTGTTGAGTACCTGTTTGGCAGTGTGGTCAGAAATCAAGACCCATACCAACTATGAAGATGGATCCACATATCTGATTTCAAGGAGTTAACATTAAAGCCAATTGAGTTGAAATGGCATGTATTTGCAAGGAAAACACTAATTAAAGAATATTGTTGGCATAGATAAATTTAAGTTGCATAAAAATGAAAACAAATAAACTAGGCCAATAAAAATGAGACATACCTTGCATGACCTTAGTAAAGACTACAAGAAACATGATCTGAAATATGTAATTGACTTTCCAAGTGATGTTCTATCCCACTCTGCTCAAATAAACCAAAAAAATATTTTAATTCATCAGTTATGTGGTATAAAATAGGAAATGAGCTACATAGTCTACTCAAATTCTAACAATTACAATAAAGAATTAAGTAATTTAGAATCCACAGTAAATCCTGCCTTGGCATCTACATAAAGATTCTTTGTGAACATCAAATATTTTGTCATCACCACCATGGATTTTAGGAAGGAGAAAATGCTGGAAATAAACATGATCCAAGTTTACTGAAATTTCAGTTGACATACCGTCATCACCATCTGCTCTCAAACCTCGCACGTTAAGTTTGCCCAAAAAAAGTTACTCTACTTACAAAATACCAGCTACTACAAGTAAATCACAAATTTTTCAACAACAAAAAACTACTGAATAATGCTGAGGCCATACATACACCCAAAAAGAACTGATTTAAAATACTAATTCCATAACAACGACTATCATAGAAATAGGCAACCTAATTCATAATAAGCTGAAAAATTTATTAAAAGTAGAGAAATAGGTTAGTATAATGTGTTAATGTACTTTCATATTCCCGTTTACCAGATTCCCTTTCATCATTTCCAACACTACCATTTTGTTTCCATCTAAAACTATTGCATATAACACATTCATCAAGCTTTATATCCTCTTTTTTGAACAACATACAACTATGGGGGCAAGCATCAAAAGTCTCATATGTGCAACCCAAATCTATAGTAACCTTCTGAGTTTGATAATATGAACTTGAAAGTTTTACACCCGTAGAAAAAGCCTCATTTAAAAGTTCAAGTAGAGACTTATCGGTCTAACTCCGAATCACCTAAACATAGTTGCAGAATATGCAAAGATTAAATTTCAGACATATATGCCACTATTTATTAATTCTTGCACCACTCATGCCCACTAACATGTGATGAAGAGTAGTATTTGAACAAGTGTAGGCACTACAAAAAAATTGACTTTTTGCGACGGTAAAATACCGTCGCTAATATTCCTAATGCCGTCGCTAATACTTTTTGCGACGGCAAAATGACTTTTTGCGACGGCAAGAGAGGGTCGCAACTGCAGGGGTTGCAAAAGAGTTTTTGCGACGGTAAATACCGTCGCTAATGTTTTGCGACGGCATTTTTTGCCTTTTTGCGACGGCACCGTACAGTCGCTAATAACGTTTAAAATTTCTTGACTTTTTTGCGACGGCTCTATTTTACCGTCGCTAAAAATGTTATTTGAGACGGCAAAAAATACCGTCGCTAATAGTCTTTTTTTTAAAAAAAACACTACTTTTGCGACGGTGTGGTGCCGTCGCAGAAAATATAAAAAATATGAAATTTTCTATTTTTTGCGACTGTAATGCCGTCGCAAAAAAATATTAAAAAATAATAATATTTCTATTTTAAATAATAAAATTTCTATTTTTTGCGACAGTATAATGTCGTCGCAAAAAATAAAACCTGTAACAAAATTAATAAAAATATTAAATTTTTATTTTTTCCGACGGTGGTGCCGTCTCTCTCTAAGAGCTGATTATTTACATTCTATTCAAAAACATCATAACAGAAAATAAAAATAAAAATTTAAATTGATCAAACATCAAATTCAATATTTTACAAAGGAACAATTAAACTGTACATGTTCATAAAAGCATTTAAATTATAAAATTCACCCAAATCTTAAAAAAAAAAAATAATATAAAAAATAAAATCTAAAATTCACCAATCAGTACATTGAATATTTAAATGCTCTTACAAAAATTAAAAAATTTCCAATAAGATCTCAATTTTGAGCCTATTTCAAAAATCAAGCTCCAAATTCCTTACTTCTAGAATCAGATCTTCCCCTCGGCAAAATTTATCCTTTTGACCTACAAATAAATAGATAACAGTTGCAAATTATAATCTTTTGGAGAAACCAACTATTTAAACACCAGTAATGAAGACAATGAAGACTGTGGAAAGAACACTTACGTTATCATCAGGAACAACTGCATATCTCTCAATTGGAGAAACCAAAGCTTTCCCTGCTCACAAAAAATAATAATAATATAAATAATAATAATATAATAATAATAATAATGGAATTCAATGTAGTCCAAAAATAGTGTAATAAACTCTTATTGTAATATACCTGGGAAATTTTTTCATGTCTGATGGAGTGCGAAGGTTAGACTTAAAAGGTTCCTACCTGTCTGGATTGTAGAATACACAAATTTTTTTTGTAGGAACTCACATGCAGAGGGTCCATCATAAAAGAATTGTGAGAAGAATACTAATATGTGATTATAATTAACTCTATATATGATAGTTAATCAAGTGTAACGAAAAAAAATTTACGAAAAAAATAAAAAAAATAGGGTGTCCACTAAAAATTAAATTTTTTTTTATTTTCTGTTATTTTTGTGCAACAATTTATGATCTATGGTTGTTAAGAAAGATGAGAGGGAGACGATATAAATGCTTTAGAGCTCTAAATATTAGAGTTCTAATAGCTCTAATGAAAAGAAATGCCTATGAATACAGAATCATGATCCACAACTATATCCATGACCCACAACTATACCTTTTGCCTCGTCTGGTGCCAGCAAAGAAAATGCCTATGAATAAAGAATCATTCCTAATATGAACATTGTTGTCCTTGGAGCACCAAATACCTGCTAAGAAACAGTCAATAGTCTTGCCAATGTGTGTGAATTCAAGAGAAGCAAGACTGGACATATGCCAACAGACTATGATAACAGACTAAACTAAAGCGGGTTAATTAATAAGAAAAAAATTGAAATTATAATTAATAAGTGCTTCATTGAATTAATTATCCAGCATTACCCTTGTCATTAGGACCAAGTTTGCTCATTTTCATATACCTCATTAGGACCAAGTTTGCCCATCCAAAATAGTTACCACAAGTAGTTGGTTTTGCTTTGCCTCATTGGCATCGAAACAGACACATCAGTGACAATCTACAACATTCTGCAGCTAACATACATTTAATTGATCTTTTTTACCTTTGCCTCTTTGACGAGTATATTTCAAAATCGTTAAATAATTTTAAAAACAATATATAAGTCACTTTGTAGACTTATTTTTTAAATTAGTAATCTGTAAGATAGATAATTAACTAATAATTAAAAAGATATAAGAAAAAATTATTTTAAATATTTTAATTGATTGTGATATCACTAAATTTGAAAATAAATATAATTTTTAGACTATAATAATAGTACCCATTCATTTATATCTCTTTGCAGACATTATTTCTTATCAATGAGACTGAGTTAATATTTAACACACCAAAAGAGCAAGTATTTTCAAGGATATTTCACCCAGACCAAATTATGAATTATGTGTTTTTTAATAAGAACCATTGTCATGAAGATCAAGGGTTAGAAATAATGAAAGAGGTGTCACCTTTCTTAAATGATTCAACAACAAAAAGTATTAAAATAGACAAGCAAAGAGAAAATTTGAGATCGGGTGATACGAAAATAAACGAGTAAGTGATAATCAAGAAGTCAAGAAAGGGTAACGATTTAATTAATTATTACAAATTTAATATTGATTATCTGTTACATAAAAGTAAAAGAGGATGATCATGATTTGATAAAAAAGTGTAACTAAAACTGTATTGTGATCACAAACTTCAAAAAATAACCACCATCAACTCAAATTTGTGATATTCATACTGGATTACATGCTGACAGTACAAGTGGATTAACTCCTTTATCCCTTCTTGGAAAAAATATAAAAAGTGAAAAACTTGTTAAAAAGAAAATCAAACCAAACTAAGTCTTGTGTTGGTTTCATTTTTTGCTTTCCACTCTGTCAAGAGCTATATATACAGTTAAATTAATAAATTGAAATCTTATTTCACTACAACATTGCATATCAGTTTAGTCTATTCCTCTTACATTTCCATTTATAGTGATCATATATATCAAATGGAAAACCAAATGTGACAAAACGTAAAGTAAAACATTTCCTTGGAATTTAGATGATACA